GCAACAGAGGGTCCTGTGGCACCTTTGAGACTGTTAGTCTCAAAGGTGCCACAGGACCCTCTGTTGCTTTTTACTGCTATTAAAGTTAGCTCTCAGTATGAGATGGTTTTCTAGAAAGTTGAGTTGGAAAAAACGGAGGACTTCAATTATTCAAGGCTGTGAAACTGGCACCTTTCTCCAGCACGAGATTCACTTTACAATTCAAATGTTTAAAGTGAAAGAGGTGCCTTCAAACTTAGCATGAAAATGTAGCAATGGCCAAAGTGTTAAGTGCCTTCTTTTGTTTCATGCAGTGTTATAGCCCTGTTGGTCCCAGGATATAAGAGAGACAAGGTGGGTGAAGTAATATCTTTTATTGAACGAACTTCTGTCGGTGAAAGAGACAGGCTTTCAAGCTACACAGAGCTCTTAAGTTCTTTTGCTTCAGTTTTCACCAAAAAGGTTAGCAGTCATCGGACAACTAACACAGGAAACGTCAGTGTAAATGGCGTAGGATCTCGGGCTAAAATAGAGAAAGAACAAGTTAACAATTACTTAGGATATGTCTACCCTTAAAAATGCTACAGCAGCTCAGCTGCACCCCTGCAACTAGGCCGCTGTAGCGCTTCAGGGTAGACCAGGCTGGACAAGTTAGATGTCAAGTTGGCAGGGCCTCACAAAACACATCCTAGAATACTTAAGGAACTGGCTGAAGAGTTCTCCGAGCCATTAGTGATTATCTTTGAGAACTCATGGAGGATGGGAGAGATCCCAGAGGACTGGAAAAGTGCAGATAGAGTACCTATTTATAAAAAGGGGAATAAGGACAACCCAGGGAATTATAGACCAGACAGCTTAATTTTGGTACCCAGAAAGATAATGGGACAAATAATCTAACAATCAATTTGTAAGCAGCTAGAAGATAATAAAGTAATAAGTAATAGTCAACATGGATTTGTTCTTGTAAAATCAACCTAACCGCCTTTGACAGGATAATAAGCCTTACAAGCCTTGTAGTCCAGGAGTGGGGAGGAAACAGTAGCTGTGATATAGATCAACTTTAGTAAGGTTTTTGATACCGTCTCACTTGACATCAGAAGCAAACCAGGGAAATATAGCCTAGACAAACCTACAATAAGGTGGGTGCACAACTGGTTGAAAAACCATACTCAGGGAGTAGTTATCAATGATTCACAGGGATCTGTCCTGGGTCTGGTTCTATTCAATATCTTCATAAATGATTTGCATTACGGCATAGTAGGTACACCTATAAATTCTGCAGATGACACCAAGTTGTGAGGTTTCAGAGTAGCAGCCGTGCTAGTCTGTATCCGCAAAAAGAAGAACAGGAGGACTTGTGGCACCTTAGAGACTAACAAATTTATTAGAGCATAAGCTTTCGTGGACTACAGCCCACTTCTTCGGATGCAAGTTGTGAGGATTTGCAAGGGCTTTGGAAGACAGGATTAGAATTCAAAATTATCTTGATCAACTGGAGAAATGGTCTAAAATAAATAGGAGGAAATTCAATACGGCCAAATGCCAAGTACTACACTTAGGGCAGGTCTACACTTAAAACGCTACATTAGTGCTTCAGTGAAGATGCTACTACGCCAACGGGAGAGCTTCTTGTGTCAGCGCAGTTAGCTACTGCCTGTCATGGAGGTGGATTATGTGGACAGGAGAATCTCATAGCGCTGTCTACACCAGGGTTAGGTTGGTATAACTGTCACTCGGGGGGGGGGGGTGTCACACCCCTTAAGTGACATAGTTATACCGATGGACGTTTATAGTGTAGACCTGGCCTTAGGAAGGAACGATCAATTGCACAAATACAAAATGGGAAATGACTGCCTAGGAAGGAGCACTGCAGAAAAGGATCGGGGCATTACAGTGGATCACAAACTAAATATAAGACTGTAAAACTGTTGCAAAAACAGTTACTATCATTCTGGGATTGATGTTGTAGGAGTGTCGTAAGCAAGACAGGAGAAGTAATTCTTCCGCTCTACTCAGCACTGATAAGGCCACAGCAGGAGTATTGTGTCCAGTTCTGAGCACCACACTTTGGGAAAGATGTGGACAAATTGGAGAAAGTCCAGAGAAGAGCAACAAAAATGATTAAAGGTCTAGAAAACATGACCTATGAGAAAAGATTGGAAAATTGGGTAGTCTGGAGAAGAGAAGACTGAGGGGGGACATAATAGTCTTCAAGTATGAAAAAGGTTGTTATAAAGAGGGTGATAAATTGTTCTCCTTAACCACTGAGGACAGGACAAGAAGCAATGGGCTTACATTGCTGCAAGGGAGATTTAGATTAGACATTAGGAAAATCTTCTTAACTGTCAGGGTAGTTAAGCAATAGGACAAATTACCGAGGGAGATTGTGCAATCTCCATTATTGGAGGTTTATAAGAACAGGTTGGACAAACACCGGTCATTCATGGTCTCGATAATACTTAGTCTTGCCTCGTTGCCGGGGACTGGACTAGATGACCCATTGAGGACCCTTCCAGGCCTACATTTCTATGATTCTATGTTTTGTCTGAACAGGGCTAAACTAGGGCAGCATGTGCTACCATTTTCCTATTAGGAGCTTCCTTCCCAATCTGCTGATGGAATTAGAGAGAGAAAAGGACTAAGTATTGAAATTACACATCATCCTCCCCCACTGTGTACCTGGGAACAGACCGTACCGAACTCCTTCCTTGCCTGGCAAGGCCTCTGTGGTTAATCACAGAATTTGCTGACAGGACAGAAGCCAAGAACTTCTATCTGCAGTTGACAAGGGCACTTTCAAAGCAAATGCCTGGCAGTCTACGTTTAAAGGGCTGTGTTACCATACAGAGCTAGATTTTCTGGCCCAGGACTGCAAGAAGAGGGATACTGTTATGGCACTGAGATGAAGGCTTCAAATGCCAGTTTGCCAATTGGGATTTGGCTGTTAGCCATTCCTGTGATCTGGGGAGGAGATATGGAGAGAGAGGCTGATGCTGTGGGCCAGGCAGATAAAATGAGGGGGGGGGAGGGGGGAAGAATAATCACACTGAATCAACAAACCACTCTCCAAATCCTCTTCTCAGGAACCAACTCTCTACTCAAGCTTGTTTGACTTTGCTAGAGGAATATGCCCAAATTCCAGGGGGAAGATAGCATCTTTCTGCCTCACATCTGACTAGAGAGATGCTTCCGGAAGTTAGAAGTGGGAGCAAGCTAATTCTTCCCTTCCCCTCCCACTGTAAGTAATAACCTTTTCTTCTACCCAGTGTATCTTGCCCCCTCCCAACCAATATTTTCACCACACATGCCAATACCCCGCTGCAGTCTAACAACCCTGGGATGTGGTCCTTTACATAGAGCAAGCTATATGCAGAGATCATGCAGTCCTAGTCACTTTCCCTTTTGAAGCCCACTCTGCGCATCTGAGAGCGAGCACAACTATGATGCTGACATTCTATTCTGATGCTAGACACTATCCATTGCCCAAGCTGAATCCAGGCTAGCAGTAGTGAAGTGGTGATGTGGGACCCACAGAGCAGGGCAGATTTGCCACACAAGCCCTTTGCGGAACATGTTAATGTGTGTCATGTGCATGTGTGATTAAAAATGTAGAACACAATCTGCTTGCTTGTCAAAACTCTCCTACCTAGAAGCTCTCATGCTGTGGTGGATCAAGGCCAAATCAACTGATCTGTGCCCTGTCTTCCAAAGGCTCTACCAGATCTTACACATCCTCCCTGCACCCCCATAGAGGCTGGCAAGCTTACCTTGAAAAGGATCCAAGGTAACTTACCTAATTCTGAATTGCCAGTATTAAAAAAAAAAAAAGTTTTTCATGGGACATTTCTTCAAATTAGTGGGGGACTGGAGGCTGAGAGTTCCCCCAGCTGGGGTGTATGTATGTAAGCTCAGGTGAATTTTAACAAGGCTGAAGTTGGTTCCTTATTCACAGTTCCCAGTTCCTTATTCAAAGATTTATTTTTAAATCAATCATCACTACGTTTAAATTTTTAAGGATATTCACCAAAATAAGTGAGAATAAATTTTATAATAATATAAATATATATATTCATGTTTTTAAGAATACACTTTAAGATACAAGCAAGACCCCAAACCTACATTGTGTAATTGCCTCTTAATGTCTGTCTCTTTCCCATTCCAGGGCCCACACCTTCCCAATCACTTCTGGTGTCTTGTCCAGTACATCCTGTAGCTGGTGGCAGCAGCTGATCCCTGTCAATCTCTCAAATCTGTCCCGGAGAGAATATGAATACAATAAAAAAGAATGATGACCAAAGAAGATTACATGAATCCAATTACCAGCTAAGCCAAAGGAGTTGAGTCCTTGTGGGTTTTAACAGTAATATTCCTCCATTCATGCTGCCCAGAAGGCACCGTTCATTGCCAAGGGAGCAGTAAGGCAGCCCCAGTCCAGTTCCCTAGGTGACTGCTCACGGAGTAAAGGGAGAACATGAAGACATCATCATTAATGTAGTCATTTTACTGACTTTAACCATGGAGAATGGCAGTAAAAGAGTATAAAGCTTGCACTTTCCCATTACCCTCATCTAGGGGCCACAAAATGTAAGGCAGAGAATGAAAACTGCAACTAAGCCTGGCAGATGGCAACACTAACATGGGAGCCATGAAGACAGAGACTCTATGTTTACAATAGGATGAGAGATGCTTGCTACTGTACCGATAACTGTACTGTATGGCATATGTACTGTATGCATGCACACACTCACATCCCATGCACATGGCTGCAGGCACCCAAGTACATAGATGCATTCTCATACCTGCATCCTACATTTATATATGCACCAGCAGGCATGCACCCACATTTGACATGTGCACCAACATGTGTTGACAGGCATGAATAAAACCACAAACATATGTAATTATTTATGTCTGCACCTATGAGTACTCGCACCCATGTGCATCTACACATGCAAATGCATATCCCTGGGTCTATGTGCACACACATGTAATCCATCATACACATGCACAGCCCACATACAAAAACTTGGTCTAAGAACGTATCTGTACAGAGCTTAATAGAATGGGGGTTTGATTCTAATCTTCTGATTGCTACTATCATATTAAATAATGCATGTGTGCCTGTCCACGCAATCCAGCAGCTTATGAAGAATTGTTGGGACAGACTGACTCCATGGCTGAGACTGGCATTTCATTCACAGCCAGCCAGGCTACTCTGGAGATGAATTGCAGGCATAGTATTAGCAGCAAGGTTTTAAGTCCTTTGGCCACATGTGGGGGGTTATCAGGAGCAACCCTGTGCTACTCAAAGCAAAGTGCTGCGGAGTGAGGGGTTGGCTCCTGCCAGCACTCCACTCTGGTCCCCAAAGGCTTCTTAATCACTAATGAATGGCCTGGTCAAGTGGGAATATTTCTGAGGGTCCATGACTGTCACTCACTGACAGTAGGGTGGGGGACAGCCAGTGTAACAACAGCCACAGGAGTCAGTGGATACTGATCCATGTTATGTGACAAGTGTATTAACCTTTATCTCTCACCTGGGTCAGGTGACTCAGGGGAGGAAATAAAGTTCACTCTCTTATCAGTACTCCTGCGTACTATCCTACTATTGCATGGTCTCTGTAAGAAGAGTGGGGACACTAAAGAACATAGCTTGTATCTCTATGCAAGGAGGATGCCTAATTTCAGGACCTTATAGTCCTGCAAGGGCCAGACTCACATGAAAGACCCGTAAAAAACTGATAAATCCCATCCACCTTGGGATCCTAATGTACACAAGATCAGAATTACAGACCCATAAAATATAATCCCTGGCTCTCCCTAACTACAGATGTGACTTTACCAAGAAGCATTCATCCCAAAGCCTGTGGTAGTCTCTGCTGTGAACTGGATTTCAAAAGGCATGTATGTCACTGTTTTCATTGTGTTTAATAGTTTATGCTGTGGCACTTGCCTGTTTCTCAACCAGTAGATTCTGTTGTTATCACTGATTGGCCATTCAAAGCTTGCCCGCTTGGCTACCTCCAGGTGCTCACGGGGGGCAGGCCCAATGTTAATTTTCTCTCCTGGGAATTACAGCACAGCAATGAACAAAGAGTCTAAGGCCAGGCCTACATGGGTGGAAGCCTGGAGGATATCTGTAGCTACATGCCACAGTGAAAAGCAGGCTGTGTCCACACTGCGGTGTGTAGCTACACACGCGGTGTGTAGCTACACGCGGCAGTGAAAGGCTCTGGCAGTGAGACACTGCCCTGTTAAAAATAGCAGGGAGGCACTGCTTGGGCACGTAGAGAGCCGTGTAGGGCACATACTCTAAGGTTCTGGTATGTTCGCCTAAGCAGTGCCTCCCCACCTACACTGCTACTTATAGCCATGCCAGGGGGCATACAGCATAGATACGCTACACACTGCTGTAAATGTAGAAAAAGCCTAAGAAGGATAATGTTAGCTAAGGACCTACTTCTGCTCTCCCTGGGCCAAAGCCTCAGCTGCAGCTGAGCAGCACGCAGCATAGCTGAAAGGGGGGTGTACAAAGGCATTTGCCCCCCTCCGATGCTGGGGCTCAGTGGTCTCTGGACTGACCCCTATCATATAATAAACCAGCATGACTGGCAGCGGAAGGGAGCATTGCTAGGCTTTCCTCGTACTCCTCCAGTCTCTGACTGCCAGAAAGGTCCCTTGGGGACAGGGCTGTTCTAATTAATACCAGATGCTATTCTTCCTGCTCAAGGGGTCAGGAGCGGGTGGTTGGGACCAGGAGCTGCTATAGTGGCTTAACAGCACCCATGGGTCCCCCTACACTAGGGGAATCCTCCAGCAGCCATCCGAGCCAGCTTTAGGGCTATTGTGTGTCACTGGAGCTGAGCACTCAGACCTCCTAGTTGGAGAAGTGGGTGCTCAGTACTTCTGAAAATCAGGCCCCTAGTCTGTTAAGAAGGGCACCCAAATATTGTTGCAATCAGAATCAGTAGCCACTTTTGAAAGTTTGTGCCTAAACATTGTATTAGCGGATGGCAGCAAGTGTAGCAATCAGCAGAGCACTATGTGCATCACGGCTCCTTGGTTTGTTTTTGCAAAGTGATGAGTGACTCCTGGAGCTGACAGCATCCAGCCACCTAAGGAAGCACTGCAGTCCCCATCACCTTCTGCACTGTCGCTGCAGCCAGCAGACCTCAAGGGAGGACACCATCAAGATCAGGGCACTATCACCTATCTTATGTGATTTCCTAAAGCCATATGGAAATCCACAGAGTTCTTTTTAAATGTGTGTATCTTTTCTGAACGTATTCCCCAATCTTCTTTCCAAAAAAGAAAATCAGTTCTACCAGCTCATCCTTCATGAGCAACCCTACAATAACTAACCAATGTGAGAAAGCCAGTGCTCAGGAGCAACCCTACAATAATAAACCAAAATGTTCAGCTCAGCTCTTCTGAGCAAACTGTGATCATCAAAACCAGCATCAGTGTGCAATGGAGGAAAGCCACATTTGGCAGTGAAAACACATATCAGCTTTAGGAAGGGTGCTCTGGAGGAAAGAGGGTCTTATGGCTAAGGCACAAAATTAGGAGCATCTAAATTTCTACCTCTGCTAATGTGACCTCGTGCAAGTCACTTAAATTGTCTCTGCCTGTTTCCTCACGAATGGGGATAACAAGACTTCCCTCCCTCTCAGGAGTCCTATGAGGCTTACTTCATTGACCTTTGTACAATGCCCGGAGATCCTCAGACAAAGTGCTATAGAAAAGGGTAAAACAGGTATGATGTTAAGCTTCTGGGGAGCTAGAAGCAGAGAGTAAAAGATTGCTTTTAGAAATGTTGAACATGATGGTATCTATTAGCTTGTCTCAGGCAAACAGGCAAATTAGGCTTCTAAAATTCTACCTGTTATTTAGTGGAGAACAAAATGGCAGCTTCCAAAACCCTTTCCAAGTAAAGTTACAACTTGGGGAAACAAATTTCCTTCTCTACAGCACTTTCTCTCTTCTAAACCTTTCTGAACACCCCAGGCAAAGACAATGTAAAACATTTTTTTAAAAACCTTCCCACTGTGAAATATATTTATCTTACCCCAGAGCTCTCTCATACAGTATAATTACCCTGCAAGGGCCTTTCAACTTTATTGAACTTTTTACCATCTCTTATGTTCCAGAGGGTCCTGAAAATGGTCCAGCCACAATCTCTCTCTCTCCCTTTTGTTGTTCTCTTGATAGCAATTCTGTAGCTCCTCCACCCTCCCACCCCCCCAAAAAACACATCTTCTTTCTATCACACTAAAGTTGAGATTCCATGGAATCATTTCCTCCGAAAACCAGCACAGGAACCTTTGTATTAGCTGCCATTTACCAATCTGGCATTCCTGAAATTCCTCATAATAATCCTCAAAATATTGTGTGATTCTTTCTGACCAAACATGTCCCTTGGGAGTCTCCAGTAGTGTGGTTCTGCCATGTTCTTAGGTCTTAGTTCACAGGGTCTAGGTGATACAAATATCATATAGTTCCTGGATGGGGATGGAGCATAAGGAGAGGATACACTTCAAAAACCTATTGACTATTCATTAAAATACATCCTTCCCTTGCTACTGCAATTTGTGCCCAAAGACCTTAAAATTCCTTCTTCCTTGTCTGATTGGGCTCTACTTGGCCAATTCTAGTAAAGGTTCCTTCTGCCTAATAAAAACAAAAAACAAAACATCACAACCACTGAGCACAGGACCTCTACTTTAAAACAAACAAATGTGCAACATAAAAACTGACTCTGAAGTTTTGCCATTGGTGGACATGACTGTTAAGACCCATTTCTGAAAAGAGCCACTGTGTTTACAGCTGGGAAAGGTAGGTCCCCTAAGCAGTTTCTGTGGGAATAAACCACTCTCCTCCTGGCTTCCAGCAATTAGCTTACCACAAGGATTAGTTCACTGCCTCCATGGTTTTCAAAGCGTATCATTAGCAGTGGAAACATATTGTACAGTCAGAGGAATTAGTGGTGAGTTTTATTCTCTATTACCCAAGTGCTCTTCAACACAGACACTTGAAAATAGAGAACAATGAGCAACCCATGAGTCCCCAGTTATTATGGCTTAGTACAGCTGGCCCCACCACATAGTCAATGCGGATTTGTCCAAAGGATAAGGAGGGCAAGGAACTTTAGACCTATCTTGCAGGGAACTTGAGATCCAGGAGAGTAGTTCCCACACAGTGAGTTGGATTCCCCTCTGCCTTGTGCTGTCATTTGCAAAGATGGCATAAA